AAATGTTCCAAGTGGTCCTCTGCTCTCAGGGACTTAACTAACATGTCGTCAATGTAAACCTCCATTGATTTCCCTATCTGCTCTTCTAACATCCGATATCCTAAGTGTTGGTAAGTGGCACCAGCATTTTTTTAGTCCGAATAGCATTACATTATAACAATAGGTGTCATGTTTAGTGATGAAGGAAGTCTTTTCTTGGTCGCCCGGGGTCCATCCGGATCTGGTTTTACCCGGAGTAAGCATCGAGAAAGCTGAGTATCTCGTGGTCGGCCGTCACATAAACCATGCGATCGATGTTAGGCAAAGGAAAAGAGTCTTTGGGTCATGCCTTATTTAAATCTTTATAGTCTACACATATTCTCAATTTATTTCCCTTTTTAGGCAGTACCACTATGTTTGCTAACCAATACGGGTACTTAATTTCCCGAATGGTGCCTATTTTAAGAAGTTTGGATACCTCGTCTTTGATGAATGCATGCTTGACTTCGGACTGAGGCCTCTTTTTCTGTTTAACTGGGTGAAACTTCAAATCAAAGATTATCTTGTGAGTAGTTATTTCTGGCAGGACCCCTGTCATGTCAAGATGGGACCAAGTGAAGCAATCCATGTTAGCTATAAGGAATTCAATGAGTTTTTTCCTGAGCCCGGGAGTTAGTCCCGTGCCCAGGTATACCTTCAGATCGGGCAGGTGCTCAATCAACCTGACTTGCCCTACTCCTCAACCGTTGACTTGGTGGCATTGGAATCGTCAGGGGCTATGAAAGACCTAGGGTCTCCGTAGTCATCATCCTCGCCTATCTCCTGCTTTTCTGGTTCGGTCGAAGTCGGCGTTGGTGATTGCTATTTGGTTTCTCCCTTGGCGATTGAGCTCGGGTTCTTTGATGTCAAAAGTGCAGATATAGGGACCACCACGTCGACCGTGAACATTTATTTTGCACTTGGTTGCTCCTCGTAAACTATTTTGATCCCTCCCAGTGTAGGAAATTTCAACGCCTGATGTAGTGTCGAGAGTACTGCCCTCATGTTGTAAATCCATGGCCTCCCGAATAATATTGTACCTCATATCTCCTTCGATCACGTAGAAATTATCCTGAATTGTTCCGATGGTGTTTACTAGTAGGGTGATCTCCCATTTAGTGGTCTCGCATGCCATGTTGAATCCGTTTAAGACTCGGACTGCAGGCACTATTTGATCTTGTAGACCTAGCTTCTCCACGACCCTCGATCTGATGATATTGGACGAGCTACCTAGATCAATTAACACACGCTTAACTCGTGATTTATTTATGAGTACAGATATTACCAGTGCATCATTGTGTGGTTGTACGATGCCTTCAGTGTCCTCGTCGTTGAAAGATATGGTTCCTTCCTGTACATAGCCTCGAGTCCGTTTTTCCCTTGTAATGGATACATCAGTGCATTTTAACATCGGCCCTTGGGGTATGTCAACTCCACAAATGATCATGTTAATGATGTGTTGAGGTTCCTTTTGCTCTATCTATTTGTTGGCGTCCCTATTCCTGAAGTGATTTCTGACTCGATCCCTCAGAAATTCTTGGAGGTGCCCGTTGTTGAATAATCGAGCTATTTCTTCTCTCAGTTGTCAGCAGTCTTCGGTTCTATGTCCATGGGTGCCATGATATTTACACATTATATTGGGGTCCCTTTGGGCAAGATCGGGCTGCAATAGTCGAGGCCACTTAGTATCTTTGATGTGTCCGATGGCTGATACGATACCGACAACATCGACGTTTAAGTTGTACTCTAATAACCTTGGTGCTTCCTTAGACCCGGTTATGTCAAAACCATTTTTGCTCATGAGTCCTCGGTTATTACGACCTCGATCACTCTTTCTTTCACTCCTCGTAGGGTTTCGTCTGGACCCACTACTCCTTCAATCTGCATTGTATGGTTGGTACAAATCTCTGTTCAATCTTGGTTCGTAATCGACAACTATTTTGGATCTGTCATTGGTCCTAACGGGGTAAAGAGACCCGGAAGGTCCCTCGAGATGATCATCGTCAACCCTAATTATTTTATTGGTACCTGTTATGGAAGTCAACCCAAGTTACCTCCGAGTATTCTATCAAATTTTGCTTTAACTATTGTGAAGCCAATGAGCTTTGGGGATTGAGTCCTTGGGTGATTGCCTGAACGGCCCAATCATTTGCGAGAGGAGGCAGATCCATCCGTTCCATTTGAAACCTCGAAACGAATTCCCTGAGCATCTCGTTATCTTTTTGCTTTACCTTGAAAAGCTCTGACTTCCTGGTCTCGACCTTGATGGCCCTGGCGTGTGCTTTTACAAAGACATCTGCAAGCATAGCAAACGAGTCAATAGAATTAAGGGGTAAGTTGTGATACCATATCATAACTTCTTTTGATAAGGTCTCTCCGAACTTTTTCAGCAGAACGGATTCGATTTCATCATCCTCCAAGTCGTTCCCCTTGATGGTGCACGTGTAGGAGGTCACATGTTCATTTGGATCAGTCGTTGCATTATACTTCGGGATCTCGGGCATACAGAACTTCTTAGGGATCGACTTCAGAGCTACGCTCCAAGGGAATGGTTTTTGGACAAACTTCTTGGAATCCAGGCCTTTTAGTATCGATGGTGCTCCTGGGATTTGATCGACCCCAGAGTTATAGATCTCCACCTTTTTATCGTTAGCTTCAATTTTCTTTTCTCCCGATTCTACCCGTTTCTTCAATTCCTCGAGCATTTTTATTATCTCGGGGTTGGTCCTGGTTTCAGCTTCACTCGGCCTTTCTATAACTGGTTCATTTCTGCGAGTATTTTCCCGGGATGGTTTGGGCTCAACTCTACTGGGGGCACGACTTTGGTTCTGCAACTGGGCTATAGCTGCTTGTTCAGCCTATAACATTTTGAAGATCACCCACAAGTTGATCCTGCCGCCTTCATCGCCATGCGTATCCCTAGCTACCGACATGGCTCCCCCACGAATGCTGTTTTCTGGATCGGTGGGCAAGTTAGAATCGATGGCCACTTGGGAGTTGGCGTCGATCAGATCTACGACCGGGACCCTATTGGGGTCAGTAGGGTGAACCTCATTACTGGGCACTATATTGCTGTTCTCTCCATGGTGGCTGGATTAAACATCAATGTTTAGGTGAGCAGATTGAGAATTTGACATCTTTAAATTTTCCTGAAATTAAGATCTCAAAGAACAAGAGTAAAACGGAGTGTGTTGTGGAAATTTGTATCAAATATCCACTATTATCCTTAACCCCACGGTGGACGCCAAACTGTTTACCCTAAAAATGGATAATTATTAAATTTGTATGTGGTTTTAAGGATATGTAGATTAATTCAATACAAATGATAAATTACGTTAGATTAAACAGATAAGGACGTAATCAATTGTCAAACAACTTAAGAGGAATGATTCCGGACTCGATTACAACCTTAATGGAATGCCTGACTTCGATCCCGGATGAACAAAAATAAAAACTTTGAATAATAGAGAAAACGAGAGTATATTGCCTTGATGTGCATGTTACAATGATTTAATGAATAGTCAGACTCCTCTTTATATAGTAGGGGAGTTTCATCCTAAGTACAATTCCATAAAAGGTAAAAATCTTCCGTTTCACTAATCACTAATCCTCCGCCAATACGTGCCGAGATTCATGCTGTGACACCCGGTTGGGCGCGGATATCACGGTCCTTAGCTGGTCGTGCTTGATTGTCTGATAACGTCTTCCGAACTTCAGAAATTCGAATCGGTCCTGGGGGTGTGGTTCTGATTCCTCCGAGGGTAGGTGTTTGCCCGGACCTCGACTCGAGGAGCTTCTTACCTCGATTCCAACTCCTCACATTTACATTTATGCTCCGTTTGCTTCATCGAGAATTCGTCCAAAGGGCTCGATTTCATCCGTATACATCTAGTTTTTCTCTTGATTTCTATCAAGGTTATGTGCTTCATTGTATTGTGATGCGGTCGAAAGAATTATTGTTAGAGCATTGGCATTTTAATATAAAAATAAAAATATGTCATGATCTCTTCTTAATCATCCCATCATCTTGAAAATGACCATAACTCACTCCTACTCCATAACAATTTTAAAAATGGTCATAACTCTTTTGTAATTACTCTCCCATATTTTATCATTAATTACACACTAATTTATTAATTATCCCATGTTTTCCATGATTTCATAATTTATTATCCCACTTTCTTCCAATTTGATCAAAGGAAGAATTCATACACCTATAAATAGGAGTCTTTCTTTCATAATTAGTGTGTAAAAAAAATTCAGAGTGCTCAAAAAAGTGAGGTTACAGTTGTGAAAAAAGAAGAGAGTTTTACTTTTGTTGAAGGAAGGTAGTCAGTCATCTTGGTGGTGCTTTGGACTCCACAACTTGTCTAGAGATTATTTGAGTCATACGACGTTATCGGGCTGTTGTATCTTGGGGGAGACAAGTCAATAGGCTTACTGCTGGACTAGTAAAGATTTTTGTTGCAGTAGACTTGAATCTCCTTAAAGAGAGCGAGATATCCGTACCTCAATTTGAATATTTTCTTCATTTTATTTTTCAAACTGTAATTATATTTTCATCAACAATTATCATTCCTTAATTTTCCAACTAAACAGCAATCTAAAAATTCCATATGCATCTGCAGTCTATTTTCTGTCTCACCTAATCAAACCAATTCAGCAACTTTTTTCACTTGATAAAGTCTTGATTTGGTTTATCTAATGCAAGTTATCTATAACTGGCCTTTAGATTCCATCTGTATGTGTTGAAAAGGTTGCTGTTGCTTAACTTCTAGGATGGACGCTAATTAACCTAGACACCAATTCATTTAATATTGAGATTCTATTTGATTTTATAACTTTGTCGGGAACAAAGATCGTTAAAACATGTATTGATCATATACTGTTATTTTCATCTTCGGAGATAATACTACTAGAAAGGAAATTTTAAAAAAGTACAACGATAATTAACACATGTAAAATGACTACTGAGAGGAAAAGACGAAAAAATAAAGCTAGAAATACTTATTAATTTCATAATAATTCCTAATTGCTTCAGGTCTTTGCCCTGCTACATTGGATTGGATTACAGTCTCAAACTGCTACCCTCAAACAGATTCTGTGTCTTTGTTGACAATCCTAATGAATGAGCTATGGATTTGACTTCTGCGATCATTGCCACCTGATCGTTAAGCTTGTTGATGGCCGAGCCAACGCCCTGTGTTCAACATCAAACCCAAGTTTCAGCGATTTGACTGAGATGCCTTAAAATAACCAATTCTAAAATGAAAAAAAAAAGTTCTCCTAAGATTATAGATGGTGTAAGGCATACCACGCCAGCAGCTCCAGCTGTGATCGCCATTGGTGCTGTGACTGCGCTCAATCCAGATGAACACATGACAGGGATATTGACTGCCCTTGAAATTGAATAAGCTGCTGCTAGTGTTGGTGTTGCCTATATATATGAATAATATCAAAATGAATGACAATTAGATGAGTTAATACTGCAAATCAATAAGCAGCTTCTCTATTGCTTGCCTTTTTTCTTACTATGTTTCTTCATTTCTTGTTCAGCACAGTGTTTTCTTGCATTTGGTTTCTGATTCGAAGCTTATACCAATTATGACATGCACTAGGATTTTTCACTTTTAGTTAAAAGATCAATCAAGGTGATTGCATAGCATCCACATATTCAGCAGTTAAGTTAAATCTCTATTAGTACTAGACTGCAAACGTGCTAGTTTACCTTTTCGATTAAACCAAGGACACCGGCCTTTGATGGAGTAGAGCATTTTCCTCCTTCTGTTTGGATAATGTCAACACCTTCTTGTTCTAATAGCTCGGCCAGCTTGACCTGTGAAAATGCGATGAAGATCTGTAAGAAAGTGAAGTCTCTTCAAATTGACCCTAGCAAGTCATATAGAAAAGTGCTCTTTGAAACCTGATCGGGAAGGCTTAGTGTGTGAGGCACAGTGACTGACAATGTCACTGATGGAAGTATCCTCATTGTCTCCTTCGTTAGTTTCAGAATCTGGAAAGCATTATCAGCAGAATAAGAAGTAGTGGACATCATTGACAAAGATTCACAACTAATATGGATTTGGATAGAGCTGGTTTTCGTGTATTTAAGTTGGAATACCAGGAAAAAAATGGAATCAGGCTTAGGTTTTCCCTAAGCTGGATTGCCCTTTTGTCCAGGCAAGTCCAAGTAATCCATCAAATCATATATTTACAAATTTATTTATTTATTTAGGCTCAATTTGACGTTATGACTCAATCCACTGCAAGGTAATTCTCCTTACCTGCTCAGGAGAGAATACCAATCCCTTCTCATAGAACGAGTCATAGTTTCCGATCTCGACCTGCACCAGAAAAGCTTTTCTTTATGATGAGCTACAAAAAGGAACTTACTCCTCTCACTTGAGGTTATGTAATCGTGGTGCTGAACTGTTTAGTATTCTTGCTTATGGTGTCTATGAACTGAAATTGAAACAATTATGAGAAGAGGTCATACCATTAAGGCTCCTGCTTCAACAGCAGCTGGAAATGCTGCGGGATCCACAGAAGAAACACAAACCTGCAAGTATGTGAAACCAAAAATTAAGCTGAAAATATTTACGCTTATAGTGCTTGAGATAGCCTTCATGTTTTTAGTACTGATTCATATATTAAACAAACTGATCCGTGCAACTAAAATCAGATAGTGGCTGAGGATGTAAATGCCTAAAATGGTGATTCTTTGAACTGATGAGCTCAAAGCACTCTGTATAAAGAAGATGCAGGTCAAATTGATATTATCCTCGGATGGTATATGATTTTTTGAAGCAATGAAGGACCAACAAATATACATGATTCAACAAGAATGTTCAGAGCTAAGAGAGAAACTGGAAATTGCATTTACTTAATAGAAGATAAAGCTTAAGGCACATTTGGCTTGAATATTTTTACAAAAAGAACTTAATTTAGGCCAGAAAAGTCGTCCGATCATTTTAATGTTGCCTAAGAACAAATTCACAAGAAAGGTTGAAACAATAGATCAGTTGTTTATGTTAAAGGTAAGAGTTCATCAAGGGTATTCTGCACAATGCAGGGCTAAAGGAAAGATCAAACGAATTTAAACAGAAAAGATTTACCGGAAGGTTAGTCAAGCTTATGGCAAGCTTGACCAGCTCAGGGTCACAAGCTATGTCTATATGGGTTGCTCCTCCCTGTAAGCAGGATCAAAGAGTTAGTCTTACTACATTTAATGAAATTTAAAAAACTAAAAGTACACTAACAACATACTACGATATCCATTACCAGAACAGTGAATCCAACTATCTGAACAATATCAACTCCTACTCAATCCTTAATAAGAGTGCTTTAGAATTTCAATTACTATAAATTTTATGCACAACGAAGAATAATCAACTTAACATTCATTTGGTGGAAATTTCAGTAACATGTTTTAGTCATTAAAGGAAAAAGAACAAAGTACAAATAACTTTTGAATGTTGATAAGAACATGAGCCAGTTTTTTCCTCCAAAAAAGCAATTCTAGAGCATTAGATAAGACCAAACCTTATCTGCAGCAGTAACAACAGAAGCCACATTCTCTTTGTCTAGATTCTGCAATCCTGCAATAATCTGAAGCAGTACAGCAATGTATCATTAGAAATTTTACCATGACGGAACCAGAGGCGAATATATAGGGGAAATAATGGGGCACGTGAACCCATGTTCTCTCAAAATTAGATATTTTATGTACATATTTTCTAAAATTGGCCATGCTACAAGAACGTTGAATGGTGCACAAAGTTGAGTTATTTACCAAGAGTAGTAGGGATCAATTTCTACTTAATACATTTTCTCCTCCTTTTTTTAGTAGTGCGCCTATGTACTCAAAATCCTAGATCCGTCTCTGGACGGAACACTCTCCTTCTCCCCAACACCATCCTCTCAAAACTGGTCTAGTTCAAGTAACTAAAAACCCAATGAAGTTGTAATAAAATAAAAGGAACTCATTTTAGAAGTGCAATACCTAAAAAGAACAAGATAAAGCTCACTCTTTTTCTTTATGGGATTTTCTTGAGAACTAAACTACTATCTAAGAATAGAGTATTTTTGCATGATTGTGATATTAGAAACAAATGGAAAAGTGGGTTATTAGTTAAAAAGATAATACCTTAAGGGCTCTTTTCTCATGAAATTCTTTCAAGACTGCTTCTTTGGTATGTGAAAGCAGAGCTCTCGTGGTACTTCTTCTTCTTCTAGCAATTGAAATGCACCTTGGAAGAACAGGAAGGGAATTCTGATTTGGTTTCAAAAGTATATGGTTTTTGGGAGAAACTGGTGTGTAGATTGAGATGCTCATTTTCTTCTTTCTCGTCTACGGAGGAAAATTTTGGCCAGGAGATAAGAAAGTTGGAATAGCAGCTTTAAGCAAGCTATTGATATTTCCCTTATAGAGCAAAGAAAAGATAAAACGAAATGATAAAACATTGCAGCAAGATATTTTTGTTGGATAACGTATAGGAAAAATAGGACAGGCTAGCTAGTTTTCGAATCGATAATTGAAAAATAACTAGTGTTTGCAAAGTCATTAAAAAATAGTCACTGATTTGCTAAAACACGAAAGTCACACCGTAATATGCGAGATTATGTAGCTACTCCGTATAAACTTTCAGCATACGGAAAGTTCCAACATAATATGCAGGATTATGGAACTCCTGCTTATAAACTTCTAGCATATTATGTTGGAATCCAATCACATTATGAAATCTCACATGTAAAAAGTTTGAACTTTAGCTTGGAATTTTTCCGGATTTTAAGGGCATTTTTGTTTAGATTTTATCTTAACATGAAAAAGTAACTAAATTTCAATTACTTTTGAAACCGTGATTATTTTTCAATTATTAGTTATAAATCTAGCTATTTTTAATTTTTCCCGATTTTTAAAGTACTTGATTGAGATTCTCAATGTCATTATTATAATCCTACTAACTTCCATTAAAAAAGTGCCAGTTGTACTAAATAAATTCTATAATCTCCTGAAAATGATAAATAGTTTGAAAAAAATAAAAATAAAATGCAATTACAAAGAAAATGCAGCAAGACCAGTATGGTCTGAAATTTTCATTCTAAGTAATTTATGCATAACTAGTATTGAATTTTTCCATATGCACATACTTTTACATGTTAAATAAAATGAAGAAAAATCTCAGAATTCGTACAGTTTTACAGTTCTATGTATAGAAAATACTCCCAAAAAATGTAATTTGACTTGAGTTCATTTTTGAAAATTAAGATGAATAGACAATATGGATAGAAAATCATGGAATATTTAACTGATATAGCTTTATACTTTGGATTTAAAAGTATCTAATANCCCCCCCCCCCAAATTGGTGGAAAACTCAAATTGATTCGTCGCAGGTTTACCAAGTTTTTCTTTTTCACCTTTTCTTGTTTGTTCTAGAGATAGTAGTGAATTTCTCCGATGTTTTTGGTTTCCATTATTTAGCTTCTCACTGTCGTCCTCACGGTTTGTTTTGAGTGAAGTTGATAACTTTTTTTTTTTAAAGAAAAATTTATGAAAAAGAAACTCAGACATCAAGATAGCTCAAAATACTTCCATGGTCTTTAGCATAATGACTTCCTCGCCACTTAAATTTGTTGGGCTTTTCAAAAGCCGATATATAAAATTTAATCTTTCTCATTTAAACACTCGAACTCCTGATTCCCTTAACTAATAAACACATCTGACCATTGAGCCTACGCGCGTGTATTACACATACACAAATATGTTCATCCAGTCAGCAAATGACCATGGGTTTGTGACACGTCAAGGGCGCGAAAACAAAACCCAACTGATCCCCCCCTTTATTCAATAGACCGACCAAATGACACTCGTTTTTGTCTTTTACCTCTATCTAACCAAGCCCTCCCCTGTTAAATCAGTCACCCCCTTCCAAGATATTATCTGTTAATCTTGTTCTTATCGAGCATCATTTGGTCTGTGCTTTCGATTCCAGACATGTTATAGGATATGAAGGTTAGTTTGTCTCTTTTGATGTTTTTTTCCATTGTCATATGTTTTCTTATGATAATGTGTGATAGTCAGCTATATTTTGTCTGGATGCACAAATTATTTGTTATTTGGGATTTTAAATTAGGATTTGGGGGGAAAATAGTCGAATCTTCAATTTACTTTAGGGATTTTTTATGTCGTTTTCTCTTTTGTCATCTAATTTCTTATGAAATAATGTGTGATAGTCAAAGCTATTTTTTGCCCACATGCATAAAATGTCTGTTGTTATTTGTGTCACAACCCAATTTTTCCCCCGTTGGATATCGTGATGGCACCTAGTCTTAGGGACTAGGTAAGCATAACATTAATTGAAATAACAACAGTATTTAAACAACATCTAACAATTTGAAATAGAAATCTCTTTAAAATTTACAACCCCAAAATTGGTAGTACAAGTCATAAGCTCTACAGAGTTTGCTAGAAAACCTCTAATATACAACTGTCTTGAAATAAGAGTGAACAGTGTAAATACAAAATAAGAAGGTGACTCCGAAGCCTGCGAACGCAGTAACAGGTTTACCTTGAGTTTCCACCACAAGATCTGTATAGCTAGCTACGATCGACTGACTCCGGAATACCTGGATCTGCAAAAAAAAGTGCATAAGTGTAGTATGAGTACACCACAACGGTACCCGACAAGTATCAAAAGTTCAAAACTAATCTTAGTGGAGTAGTGACGAGGAACAGTCAAGACATCTACTGGACTAAATAACCTGAATGAGTATAAGAGCAGAAACAATAGAGTACAATATCTATATAAAGACTATGCATAATGACAAAATGATATGAAAATTGCAGTAAGAAAGAATAACAACTAGCAGCGGAACACCATAATAATGACACAGTAGAATGAACGGAACACAGTTTAAATCCGGTGATCACAGAATAAGGAAAGTCAAGTAACAACTCAACCAAAAATGACCGCTTTCACACCAGGTTTTAGCCAATAGCCATCACGAGACACAAAACCTCAGAGTATTCACAATTCACGGGTACAAATGTTGGAACCCTAAACACTTGCATCATGTGCCCTTTTTACTAATTTAATACTCAACAATATCAAGATCCATCTTTTTAACCGATAAGAGTGATTAACTACGTGTATGTTTGTGCAAGTGTTCTACCATAATTCATGCATGCTAGTACGTATAGAGAAAATGAACAGCACATAATATGTTTTCCCACAATTTTCCATAAAAAGAGCTCACACAGGTAAGTGCGTCACTACACAAATATCAACGACAAGGATGCCCCCAAGCCATCACAAGTCATCACAAATCAATCCTTGATATAACTCACCTTGTCTCGCCACGTGTGCAATAATAAAGTAAATGCCCGCCTTGTCTTGCCACACGTGCATAAAAATATTCTCACCTTGTCTCGCCACATGCGCAATCACACAGATATAGCCCGCATTTTCACGCCGCATGTGCATAATCAAAAGTAACAATAGCACTGCAGAAACCTCGTGCAACACAATCCCAACCGCACGACAGAAACCTCGTGCATCACAATAACAACCGCACGACAGAAACCTCGTGCACCACAACACTAAGTAGCACAACCACAATGACAGTAACACAAGAGTACGGGAAGTAAATCAACTCAAGGCATTCGATCATAACGAAACGGTAGAACTAGCTCACAAGGAATAAACACAGCAGATAAACTAGACATAATAAGAATAACCTAACATGGGAGAAATAATATGTAACAACGACCCCACAAGGTACAGTTCAGCAACAAGAAGATGACACGAGTCAAATAATTCAAAGTAAGGTCAAGTCAACTAGGATATAGGATATCTAAACTTCTTTTAAGGTTAAGCAATTACGAAGGTGATACAACAATTCAAATAAGGGTAAATAACGAAAAGATAATCAAAACTTCAATTAAAGATGAACAATTAGAGGAGAGATGATGATACTTTCAAATTAAGGAGAAGCGATTAGGGAGGAATTGCATGGCAATAGAAGAGGTAACAACTTCAGTTAAGTCACGTAAGAGTCAAATAAGCAATAAGAGTGGATAATGAAGCAATTAATTTCAATTAAACACTTAGAGGTGAAAACTAGTAAATGGGAACTCAATCATAGCAAAACAACTTCATATTTAGTGAATATAAAGACCTAAGATCCCTAAAAGGTCAAGTTTCCACTATTAAACCAAACACGTACTCGTCACCTCACGTATACAGACTTTACATGTTATAATCAACACAAAAGACTCAAATCCTAAGAGGTAGTTCCCCCACACGAAGTTAGGTAAGATACTTACCTTAAAGAAGACAGACTGATACTCAACAATGAACTTCTCGGGTGAAATAACCTCCGGATAGCTCAAATCTAGCCAAAATAAACTTCAAAGCATAAATAAAACTCATAAGAAACTATTTCGGATCATAAAGCCTCAATCTTTATCAAAAACTAAAAATCAACCCAAAAGTCGACCCCGGCCCCGTACCTCGGAACCCAACAAATTTCATAAAATTCGAAGACCCATTCCGATACGAGTTCACCCATACTAAAATTATCAAGTTCCGATACCAATTCTCCCCTCAAATCATTATTTTTCATTTTGAAAGTTTTCTTCAAAAATCCCATTTTTCCACACTCAAAAACAATAATTTAATAATAAAAATAAAGATAAAATTATGGAATATAATAAATTATAGGTGAAGAATACTTACCCAATCGATTTGCTTGAAAATCCCACAAAGAATTGCTCAAAACCGAGCTCTAGAACTCCAAAAATGGTGAAAATTGTTAACCCTCGGAATAGAGTACTATATATTATGCCCAGGTATTAAAGCATCGCGAACGCGGAAGATGACTCGCGTTTGCGAAGAAGGAAACATGAAGGCTGCCAAGATGTGCATTGCGAACGCGATAAATCGCTCGCGAACGCGGAGAGGATAATGTGATGGTTCAACGACTGGGCTACGTTAACGCGTGAAGTAGTACGCAAATGCGAAGAAAGGGATGGCATACCTTCGCGAACGAGGGAAGAAGGACGCGAACGCGAACGCGAACGCGAAGGGGAAGTAGTCACAATGCCCAGCTCCTAGTTTCTACTACCTGAACGCGAAGGTGGAGCTGCGAACGAGAAGAAGGGAGGGGCAAACTTACGCGATCATAGATGGAAACTCGCGAACGCGAAGAACAAATAATTCCTCCTCCAAAATAACACTACACGAACGCGGAGGGAGTGACACGAACACTATTAAGGAAACCAGATAACAGAAAACAGCAGTCCAAAAATAAAAGAAAATGGTCCGTAGCCCATCCAAAACACACACGAGGCCCCCGGGGCCCCGTCTAAACATATCAACAAGTTCCATAACCTAACACGGACTCGCTCGAGGTGTCAAATCACAT